TAAGTTAAAATAGGTTGAAGTGTTTATGTTTAAAAAACAACACGCATACACTCAGAAATAATTCTTGCAGCTCCTCCCGTGATTTAGTGCACGGAACCCGATGAACTAACCCTTCTCACCGCAGATTTGTTTCCATCATTAATGATGTTACGCTCTTATGGACCACAACGGTTTTGAGCGACAAACTCGACATTTCCCTGCGACCATCAAAATCAACTGGAGAAACCCGGCTTGATAAATTGCGTGACGTGATTGTGCAAATTTTTTCCCTTGCCATGTGGCCTGTTTCGCAGGTTCTACAATTTTGAAACCAAAATTAGTTAGTGTAACGAATTAGCATCGAAAATTATTAAAATGGACTGAATAACATTTTAATGAGAATTTGAACTTTTAAAAAGGTTTACTTGATTCATGGAAAGCAAAGATTGGAGTGGCTTTGGGTATTTCAGCCCTGATTTCTCTCCTGGTATGTAGGTGTCACAGCAGATTTGAAACCCCCCCGCCCCCGCGCAGATTTGGACTGCCCTACCAAACTTCCTTTTGAGCATCGTTTGCATCATATTTGGTAACTAATAGGTGCCCATTAAGTGATGGGCTCCTGGTAACTAATTCTATTTACAAGATTTTTGCTGATGTTCTTTTCCATCACAACACAACATTCCTCATTAAAGATAAAGAAAAACAGCCATTTCGTTTCAATTCTTCCGCATTTATTATAGCGAGTCGTGCAGTATACGCAAGAATTAAATGCGAACAAACTACTGTATTCGAACTGTTGAAATTATTCCAGAAAATCTTTGCTTCTTCTAATGCGAATCAACATTAATACAAAACATCATTACAATAGTAGAGACTATTGCGTCCAGTCACAAACAGTTTCTGAACGAGAACGAAGTAACAACTCCTACTACAAGTCGTTCGTAAAAACTATGATAGGTAAAAATGTTTCTATTCTGAACTATTGGATCTCTCAGCCTATTTTCAAATGCAAATCAACATTAATGTCTACGTCTTAACAAAAGTGAAGACTACTACATCGAACTCAATCTTAATTTCTAATTTTAACGAATATTAACCGTTGAGGGATCCGAAATAACACCTTACCGATTACGAAGACGTTTAGAGTCTAGCGGTCTGTAGACAATGCAGAGCCACTCGCCCTCCGGGCAGTCCCTCGTAGCTCATGTGCAACCATTCCTCGCACACCTTGCACTGTAACATGTCGTCCCAACACTCGGGCATTGACCAATAAAATAAATTAGTGTCAAAAGTTTGTCTCTTATTGAATCTAGCGGTGTTCGACTCCAGCGCAAAAGACTCAAAAACGACCTTTCTCCAAACATTAAACTGAATGCTTGCGCATTTTCCCTTGGTCAAATGAAACATCCGACGAGTCATTACCAGCTGCAAGTTGCATGTTTTGAATCAAAAACATACTGTCGTACGCTCTGGAACGTAAAGTATTATCTACTTCTACTAGAGCTTCAAGGATGATCTTTTCACTTAGTTTTGCTAGGGGGTCCAAATTCTCGGAGGGGGTCCAAGTCCGCTAGCGGATCTGGACTGGGGGGGGGTCCATATCAGCTAGTGGATTTGGACGGGGGGGGTCCATATCAGCTAGTGGATTTGGACTGGGGGGGGTCCATATCCACCTGCGGATTTGGACCGGGGGTCCAAATCTAGGGGAGTCCAAATCCGCTAGGAAACCGGGACGACGTATCGAGTCATTTGAAATACTACGGGCTATACAGCGAAATCCTCGATTAAAAGTTAATTTTGTTTCGTTCCGGTCATTTTGACCACGATATCGAAAAGTTATTGGTATGTTCTAAACATCCGAACACTTTAAGAAACTTTGGCCACAGCACAGGGGAAAATGTGAGGCAGTGAATGAAAGCCAGACTGACTAGAGATGTTTTCGAAGTTTTCGGAATTAAAGTTGTAATCGGATCACATGGGTAATATATTTGCAATTTCTCGAGAGTGAAGGCTATTATTTAACAAGAAATTGATTCGTAAGTGCCTATCTGGGCTATCTGCAATAGCAGACAAAACCAGAATTCTCTTGACAAAATCAAAGGACAAATTGTGTCATGACGAATTTTTGTCTCGATTTTTGCAGCCGCTTAAAATTTCAAAACTGTCAAATTTCGTCAGCGCTTGATCTGTTCATGAGACCAGATAGCATAGTTTGCCAATGGACTCGAACTCCAGTTTCAGGATTCATCGCACGTCCTTTTTAAAGTTTTAAAATCCACGAGTTTCGCGACAAAAGAAAGTTAATGCCTTCCAGGTCAATTTTAGTGAGTTCAACAACATGCTGGTGGCAGCTTTTAAGACAAATGGCGTTGAAAACTTAGTCTCCTTTCACTGCCTCACATTCTTCTTTTTGCTCTGGATGCTAAAAAATACTTTTATTACATTTCCAGTGTCCTCTCAGGTGTTCTGATGTTTAGAACATACCAATGACTGTTTTATTTTCTCCAAATCAGGGATGAAATACCCAAAGCCAATCTTTGCTTTCCATGAATCAAGTAAACATTTTAAAAGGTAAAATTCTCATTAAAATGTAAAAAATTCTTCAGTCCATTTTAATAACTTTCGATTCTAATTCGTTACATTAACTAATTTTGGTTCCAACTTGTAGAACCCACGAAACCGGTCGTATGACAAAGAGAAAAGTTTGCACAATCACGTCACGCAATACATCAAGCTAGGTTTTGCTAGTTGATTTTGATGGTCGCAGGAAATGTCGAGTTTGTCGCTCAAAACTGTTGTGGTCCATAAGAGTGTAACATCATTAATGACGGAAACAAATTTGCCGAAAGAAGGGCTAGTTCATCGGGTTCCTTACGCTAAATCTCGGGAGAAACTGCAAGAATTGTTTCAGAGGGTATGCGTGTTGTTTTGTAAATATAAACACTGTAACCTATTTTATCTTGTTTTTGTGTCCTTTTAAGCAATGCAATATGTCTGTTATGACCAAAGTGCCAAATTTTATTCTTTAATTTTGATCTTCTCCACACTGTACGTAGTTCATGACCTAATATTTCAACGTAAATTATCGAGAAGGCGTCTTCCAATCACCTTTCTCTACTTTGTAAGTCACGCAAGCGCGCAGGCGTTACGACCGATCACGTTTACGCAACATTTTTAGGACAACTCGACATCTAATCTCCATTCAGTTCCTATGAAAACCTAAAATCCTCAACGTAGAAGATAAACGAACGAAGCTTGAACTGTCAAAAGGAGATCTTGGTTAATTTTAAGAATCATACAAATGATCTTTGACGCGAGTGCAATTAAACAAACACATGAATTTGCATTGCGTCGATCAAGGAATTTTTATTGTTGGGATTTTTCAATTTTTTGCTTTTGAATTGGTACTTTTTAGGGGTAGACATCAATTGTTAGTACTCCCACACAGATAGACTCGGGTACCTTTTATAATTTCAAAGGGGTCGTTTTCGAAATTCCCGGCGTGCACCCCCGCCCTCTTATGTAAATGTGTCCCCCGGGGGTGATGATACGTGCAGCACACTTGAAATTTAGCAAGGACAAATTTTGATGGGATTTTGGGTGAAGAGAAGAAAGTTTTGTCAGCGTGTAGTAGCTTGGGCGGAAGGGCCCTTTACCTCCGTGTGCATAATTACGCGTCCCGCCAAACGATGGGAAGCCAACAAAGTGTTCAGACATTAGTATACAAAACTCTGCCTCTGTATAGATTTTTGGTAGCCTATTGACCAATTCCCAATCGAGACTTAAGTCTGACGGGAGGCGTAATTTTTCTTCCGGTGGTAAGCAGCCTACCTACCGGAGCCAGGCTGTATGAATTTTCCAGACATCTTGAGTACTACCTGTGATACACGCTTGCCAATTCCCCTATCGGCTTTTGGAGTCAACTTAGCCTTACCATTGCACTGGCCGGACACCTCTTTAGGCACTCTACATCTACTACTAGAACCACAACTCTACCTAACATCTTTGTGTGGGGCAAATTGTAAAATCATCGATATCTGTTAGCGTCTCAAAGATGCCGGTAAGCGACAAAATAAGATCAACTTCATTTTCTGGGTCTGAAAACTTGCAACTCCGCAAGTGACTTGACTTTTACAACTATGTTAAAACTGTCTTTGTTTTGATGCTACTATTCGACATAGGAAAAGAATGTGGGAAGAAAATATTTACCAAAAAATAAATATTTCTTTGCCAGCTTCAATAATGACAGAGGATTAAGTTTAGATGATAAAACAAAGGATTATGTTGACAGAAATACCGGAGGTCAAGTTTATTCGCTACATGAGGTTACACAACTCGGGTAATGTTCACGGTGGAAATTTGCACATTTTAGCGGTCGAACGAAAAAAATAATTCCTCGAAAACTAAAATACATTTTCACAAAAAAAAAAACTACACCATAATTATTAGGACATATTGGACTGCAAAATATGAAAGTAGGAGTGAAGAAAATTTTGGGCGAATTGCCGCTGTTTGTCTAATGCATGCTGACATTAGCTCTTAATTCGATTCGATCGTTTAAGGATACGTAAATGTTGGGAAGAGTTTTCAAAGAACTATTGATAACAAGCGAAAATCCTCGTGTTGTAGCAACCCTTCGGATTTTACTAAATTACCATGAAAATACTAGGTTTGCCTCAAGAAAGAGACCCGACAATTTGTATACAAATTACGGTTTTACAAATTCATGGAAATTAATACTTGTAGTGATATAGAATTATCTTCGAGTAATTGGCTTGCAAGGAAGTTTTTTCCCCCTCGAATTTACGCAGTTGATTTGCCCCGGTTGGGATTTACGTTACCCGTTGAAATTTGCCATGGAACTCCCAGGTAATGCAGGAACGAAATGTGGGCCGGCAGTGATATGGCTTCCTTTCCATTCTGCTTCTTCAAACACTGTAAAAAGAAAATGCTGAAATAACATAAAGGGCTATGAAATGATCTTTCGATTTTTGTGTTACTTGTAGGATTTGTTGCCAAGTATGGCGAAAGCGGCTGTTTCTACCAAGGAAACGACAAACTACGCCCGGTTGTGTCGCCTGCTGTTGGACGTGGGTTCAGAAGTATTAAGAGATACATTCGATAGACGGCGTCCAATAGGAAGCCTTGACAAAGTTTTGACAACTCCTCCAGTAATTAATAAGCTTACTTCCTTAAGAAAGAAACGAATTCTCAACCAGGCGCAGTGGGCGATAATCAATTCACCGTCTGTGTCAGCGAAGCAATTTGACATTTCCTTGCTAGCTGTTCTTCTTAAGAATATTTGTGGTCTCTCTCCACCGGCATCAGGCTGGAACACTCTTCCACACGCAGGAGTCAATACAGAGGCAGCCGACATTGCCCGTATCACGATCCACCGGAACGAAGTATTTGCCCACGCCAAACAGGCCTCTATTGATGACGTATTATTCGAACAACATTGGATAAATATCAAGGAAGCTTTGGTGAGACTCGGAGGAACCACTTATGAGGCGACCATTGATAAAATGAAAACCGAGGGAATTGACCCTGAGAAGGAGCAATATTATCAGCAGCTTCTGAGAGAATGGAAGGAAAATGAAGAAAGTGTCATGGAAGAGCTTGGTAAAATCAGTGGTCGTCTGGGGACCATCGATTGCAAAATGCAAAAGTTAGACGAGAAGCTTGATTTTGCGATACCACCGACATTATCTGCAGAAGATCTTGACGTTCAAGGTTAGCGCATAATGTTTTTTTAAACATTCTCCTGAAAGCAGTGGTAGTTCCCAGCTTCCTTTCCTTGCTTATGGCAAACTTTCTATATTAAGTCATGCGCAACATTCTGTTGGCTATTATGTTTTTTCCACTTTGCTAATATTATGAAAAGACGTTGCTAATTGCATCATATGTTGTATGTCCAAGTTAGTTTTTATGTTCTTCGTGTGTTCCAATCATGCTATTTAATTGCCGAAGTGATGTGCAATTTCGTCTCATCAGGAACTTTCGCTGCGTTCATTCATTCATTCCTTTTATTCATTCAATCATTTACCTATCTATTTAATTATCTAACGGCATCTTGATCACAAACCTTGCATGCATAGAGTATCATGAGAAATTATGCGGGTTTTTATTTCTTCGATTGTCCTCGACCTGCAAAAATTAGTTCTCGCAGGAAAAAAAATTACGAAAGATAAAAGGCTAAAAAGACCTTTTCCATTTGAATCTGCTTTCTTTAACCTTGAGTTACAGGCTAAATTTCACATAATTCCACAAGAAATTTCACTCATTTCAAACAGATAAAATTCTCTCTAACTGCACTGAGGCACTTTTCTTTCGTTTTCCAGTTTGGACAGAGGCTAGCACCTCAGGTACTCTCTGAAATATACTAAAAATACTCTTGCAGTGTCAGGTAAAATTCTTGTGCATTTATCCATTACAGAATATAAAAGTCGTCTAGAGAAGCTCTACAACAACTTAAGCCAAGTTAACATCACCCCCTGGGATCCTGACAACACTGTACACATCGATGAGATTTACACAGAGCTGATATGGGTCAGGGCCAACCGGAAGCCAAGTGGGAAGAAAGAGGAGAAACTCGACGATTATTCCGACGTTTTAAGAGGGCTGAAAAGCAATCCTTTCTCAAACAGATTTCTTGTATACGGAATACCCGGGATTGGAAAATCTACCTTTGCTCAGAAAATCGCTCTCGACTGGGCAAGAGGAAAAAAGGAAATCCTTAGGAAGTTTGATGTGCTGCTAATGATCCCATTACGGAATGTTTCCGACAGTTCAACTTTCCGTGACATTTTGATTGAAGCCAAGCTATTTTCTACGGAAGATCAAAGATTCATTGACGGTCTCAACAGGTACATCCTTGATCACCAAGATAAAGTTTTGCTGGTTTTGGATGGTTTTGACGAGTACAGCGCCAGCGGGACGCCTCCAGTGGTGCATCGCATTTGGATGGGAGATGAGCTCCGAGGGTGCTTTGTGATTTTAACGACGCGACCAATAAAGGAAGATGATACCAAACGATTCAGCCACGCGCAGTTCCAGATCAAAGGATTCGACTGGGCTCGTATCAAAGAGTTCGCGATCAAAATCCTGGAAGATGAGCAACAAGTAGAGATGTTTCTTAATTACATAAAGGAGCATACAATGAAAGAGATTGCAGAAATCCCCCTTCTTCTACTGATGCTTTGTTTGGTCTGGAAGGAGAAAGATCGCGAGGCGTTGCCGGAGGCAAAAGTACACCTGTACATGGACTTCATTCAAACTCTGTTCAATCACATGGCTGCAAAAGGCAACGAGGGAAGCTTTGAAAGCCTCGATGATTACAAAGGAGATCTAGAACAAGTAGGAGAGCTGGCATTTAAAGCTTTACTCAGCGATTCTCTTGAGTTTGATTATGAACATCTTCCTATCGAACTTCTGAGTAGCAAATTAATCACCGTTGGCGTCATTCAGATCGTAAAGCTCTTCAGTGCAAAGCCAAAGAAGAAGGTTGCCTTTCTACATAAATCCATTCAAGAGTTCTTGGCAGCTTGGTTTATCATTCAGAGGCTAGTTCCCTCTTCCAATGACGATCTCTCATGCATGCAAGTCATAGATTCCACCAGTAAAGTAGTCGACTTTCTAGAGGTCCTTAAGTTCGTCTGCGAATGGTCACCGGAAGGTTCGAGAGCAGTATTGCAGCACCTTGAACTTTTGAGAAAGAGCCAGAATCCTTTCGAAGATGAACTCAGCAAAACCCTGTTCCTGGAGGATTTGCTGGATGATGACAAGAAATTGTTAAAGCTAAGCTTAGAGAGCTTTATTGCAACACCCAATGAATCAAAGGCAGATGTCTACCCGTCACTTTTGAAATCTGTGAGCGGCGTCTTAGTTATACCAGACACACTCCTGCCTCAAGTGGCTGACGGCCATATTGTTAGGCCTAATGCCCTTCTTAATTGTGTTCTATTCGATTTCCAAAGGCATCCATCCCTGAAAGACCGCGATTACATGGCCTCCATCATGGACGATCTTAATTCGGTAATCGTAACTACTTCAGAGGAAGGAAAGGCTTCGGATTTCGTAAGAAGGCAGACCAAACTCGAAGTATTGGCTTCTCTGTTCTTAAAGTGCAAGGAAAATGAGATGTGTCTTCATTTCTCTCAGATTTCCAGTGTTGTCATCGGTGCATTAAATGAGGTTACACCACCATTGATGGGCACCATTCATCAGACACGCACGGATCATAAGGAAACAAGAGGCAGTGATGGGGCGACCGAAGAGGAAAGACGAGCTCGCCGGCACTGCTTTTCATTGGCGAAAAAAATTGACATCGATGAAATACCTGGCGAAGTCGTTCGTGTTATTTGTAACGTTATTCCCCTTCTTTCCAGACCCCGAGAGATAGCGTTACGAAGCTTACACGAATCCTCCAAGCCTCATGAGATTAAATGCCTTGTGTCGGGAATAAGCATCACGGAATGTCTTCAACGTTTGAGACTCCACAAAATGTGCTTGAGTGCTCAATCCTTGCCCTTTCTCACAGATGGCTTTCATAAGGCTAATAACTTGCTAGAGCTGTACCTATCGGAAAATCCATTGGGGAGCAGTATTAGATACCTGGTAGACAATCTTCATCATGTGCAAAACCTGACTGTTTTGGAGTTGTCAAATGTGCTTATGGATGGAAGAGCCTTCTCAGACCTTGCCAATTCTTTGCGGCATGTTCCTAATTTGAAAGTACTTTCTGTGTCTCGAAACCAACTGGGAACATCGATCTCTGATTTGGCAGATAATTTGGAGTACATTCCTCACCTCACTGATTTGGAACTGAGTAATACACAAATGGATGAAGAAGGAGGAAGGGCCCTCGCAAACAACTTACAAGTTGTTTCAAAGTTAGAAAATCTGGACATTTCACACAATCCCCTTGGAGGTGCAGTTGTTTTGATTGCAGATAATCTTTACAAAGCAGCCTGTCTGACTGAGCTCAACATGACTGACACAAAAATGGGCGCCAAAGAGATTACGGCATTAACTAGCTCTCTAAGATTCTTTCAAAATCTTAGAATGCTTTCCGTTGGTTACAATCCATTAGCACAAGGAGTGTGTGATCTCGTCAAGAATCTCTACAAGATCTCAAAACTCAAGCGACTGAACTTGGAGAATGTTGAGATGGGCGAAGAGCAAGTAGATTGTGTCAAAAACGCCTGGAAAAGAAACCAAAATCTGGCCATTGCCAATGATTATTTTGTAAGTACCTGAGGCGTTTCCTCCGCTCTTGAGGTTTATCATATTATACTTATAATTGATAAGATTTATGTGCATCATAACAGCAAACAAACATGCGAAATCACATGCTTTTACAGCGGTCGTCTGAATGCAAAAAATAATTACCAAAAGAGGTTTAAATCACCCAAAACGGGAGGGAAATGTTCTCGGAAAAAAATACAACTCACAGTGTTCAACTTACGTTTGGAGGAGTTCACCTTAGTTAATGAGCCCTTCAATAAACAAACACAAGGAGAAATGTATATAACGCGACTCCATCCACGTATTCTTCGATCATGTCTCAGTCAGATTGACCACTTACGTTTCTTTCATGTATTTGCGTTACAACAGGATGAAAAGGGAGAGCCGAAAAAGGGACGAAGTGTAGAAGCCTTGCCAGCTTATCATATTCATTATAAACCAGCATCCTTTGACGACTATGATCCCAACTGTGGCGACTTTGACGGCTATGATGACCATGAACCTGACTATGATGACCATGAGCCCGACTATGGTGATTGTGAACCTGACTATGATGACCATGAACCCAACTATGATCCCGACTATGATGACCGTGAACCCGACTATGGTGACCGTGAACCCGACTATGATGACTGTGAACCCGACTATGATGACTATGATGACTATGAACCCGACTATGGTGACCGTGAACCCGACTATGATGACCGTGAACCCGACCTTGGTGACTATGAACCCGACTATGGTGAGCGCGAACCCGACCATGATGACCGTGAACCCGACTATGATGACTATGAACCCGACTATGATGACTATGAACCCGACCATGATGACCGTGAACCCGACTATGATGACTATGAACCCGACTATGACGACTATAGTCCCAGCAATGACGACTATGATGCGTATGATTGACTTTTGGCTAATCAGAAAGTGAGTGAGTATGAGAGACACCTTGACAGCAATGGGAGGAATTGTTAGGAATTTGACAAATTTTTAGATTAACTTTTCTGAAACTCTTTTAAACAGGTACACCTTAAGTCTTGAAGGGCTGGAAAAGGAAAGTCAATAATTAGACTCGGCACGATGTGAAGTAGATTGAACTTTACCTTCTTCGTGTGTGTGTTCTATTAATTTAAGACGAAACAAAGTAGGAGGACGTTTTTTAGACCCTCACGAAAGAAAGTTTGGAGTTTTTTTTTCACGGACTCGTGGACTCAAGCGCCTCCCTTGTACATTTAAAGAGGAGACCGCTCAATATAAATAGCATGAAGAAAAACAAATACAACAGTGGACCTCTTTTAAACGGACATCTGAATTGACTGTGGCTCCTGGTTGGACCGAGGAAAGGAAACGTTGCTGCAAACCCTACTGAGAAGTCCTGTGGCAAAGAAACATTTGCTTTTTTTCAATTTTTTTAAATTCTAACTTGTTTTGAACTTTATAGGCCAGCTTATTTTACATCTCCAGTACCGGGGACTTGACTGTCACTCTCTTTCCACGTACTGAGTACGTCATGTACGCACACAGGCGGCAAATTGCGTAACGTATTGTCGAGGAGAGAAGCCAAATGCCAGTCAAAGACCAATTACCAATAAGATTACTGACTTTTTTGTAAGTCTTAGAGACCATTTTAAACCTTTGACCCGTGATTCTTCCCCAAGCCTGGTGCCACATGAACTTTTTTGTTTCCAGTGAGGAAGTGTTCTGATCCCTGTCGTCACTTAATGTTGCAAAAGCTGTAGGACCCAACATCCCAAGTAAATTGCTTAAGGACTTTGCACATGAACTAGCTCCTGTCATTCGAAACATATATAACCAGCCTTTTAAGGAGGGATACATTCCATCACTTTTAACATCTTTCATCGTCACTCCTATCCCGAAGGTCACCCCACCAAGAAAAACAAAGGGTGATCTCCGCCCGATATCGCACACGTGATCACTAAGAACAATAGACTTCAAACCCAAGAACAACAGGTGGTGTCTAGATCAATAGATCCATTGTTTTCAATTCCCGAGGGACTGACAACATCATTAGTAATATAATCATGACGTCATTAATGTATTGACGTGTTCTTGCATGACATCATTAGATGACAATTTTATGCAAATATGTGGTTGATAATGTATATGTGCCTAAGAGGGATTTTGTCATCAATGTGGGAGTCTTTTTTAGGCAAGGCGCATGCGCAGAAAATGTAAATATGATTTAAAACATTTAATTCGTCAAACACCACACATTTTTTCAGTTTAAGGAAAAGTTTTTAAGTCGTGGGAGAATTTTTCAACCCTAGAGCGTAATAAAAAATCTTAAGGCACGGTAAAAAAACTTGTAATCCATATGAGAGTTTTTTCTATTTAAGAGCATGAACAATAAAAACTCACACCAAAAAATAAACTTTCAACATGTTTATTACAAAACGTTTATGGCCAAAAAAGTTAATTACAAGAAGTTAATTACAAAAAGCAAGGGCGAAAGAAAACACCTAAGCGAAATTTACAAAAAGCAAGGGCGAAAGAAAAAAACCTAAGCGAAATTTACACCAAGCAAGGAAAAAGGCAAGGGCGAAAGAAAAACCTCAGCAAAATTTACAAAGAGCAACAACGAAAAAAAAAGAAACCTGAGCAATGGCCAGTAAATTTTCTGCAACAAATCGAAACCTTTGAATGGCTTCACGTTTGTTTTGAGCCAAGAATCTCGAGACTCTACGATTCTCATCTCGATGATTCGTGACCAGATACAATCTACTATCAGCTCGTACCAACATAACGTTCTCCGGCATTCTTTCATGGATAAATTGAAGGAAGAAAGCGTCTCTTTTGGTGGGGATTCTTTCATTCCACGCATAGTGGAGATAGGCATTGTGGCGATGGGCTGCCACCCAATTGAATTGCCTCCTTTCTGGTGGCAGTACTCTTTCAGGCCTGTTGGCTAAGGCTTCTAAGACTGTCATTGGAGGTTCTGCGCTACAGAATGGACAAGAAGGCCGTAGGCGCCTTTGCTGCTGCGACTGGTACCAGTCCATCAAACAGGAGGTGTGAATCACCTGCTGGCAGCAGGGCGTTTCTTCATCACAGGCAATTTCACAAATAGTGCAGGCTCGATCTTCGGTTCCTGAAAGAAATAAAGTGAGACTTAGGTCTTTCCATACTTCACTAATTGACGATTATGAAAACGGAAAAAGATTCGAGTATGACATGAACTTAACGTGAGGTGCTTGCGCTCCAATTATTTTGCAAAAAAAAAATTTAAATATCAGTATTTCCAAAATGTCAGCGAAGGACGTTGCGACATCAACGAAATGTGATTGAATTATTCGTCCACAAAACGTTCTTTTATGTTCGGTCAAAGTCCCAAAGGGCCTTTTTCTTGAGCTTTTGTGAATATCACACTGTGTGTGTGTGCAAGCGTCTGTTTGGTCCCAAAGGCCTTTTTCTTGAGCGTTTTGTGAATATCACATGGTGTGGATGGGTGAATGTGTATGTGTGTAAGCGTCTGTTTGGTCCCAAAGGGTCTTTTCTGGTTGAGCATCAGTCACGTTCGGGCTCTTTGCCTGATCAAAGGTCCATGCTATTAAGAGATAAGTTTCTTTAAATACACTTTACAATGAACAACTGTGCTTAATTGATACAGCCTCTTTCGCTCAATTAAAAAAAGAGTCCATGCTATTCAAAGGTAAGTTAATTAAGAAACGAGCAGTGCATTACAGTATACAAACTTAGAAACATTTGAAATTGTAATAACAAAACTTGTTTTTAGGTGCTTTTTTACTTACTTTGAAACGATACATATACTGCAAGATACTTGCCATCTGAAAATTCACTAGCACCATTTATTATCACAATTCTTTTCTTCAACATAGCAACAAGTTGTAATGGAGAAAGGAACGAACAACTCTTTGGTTAATCAATACAGCCTCTTACTTAATTTAAGAAAGAGTCCATGCTATTCAAAGGTAACAATATTGCCTCTTTTACTCAATTAAGGAAAAGGTCCATGCTATTCAAAGGTAAGTTTTATTTTGATAAAGAAACGAACAAGAAAGCTGTATGAAGCGTCGGTCACGTTCGGACTCTGCTAAATATTTTGTTGTGCATAATACGATTGTTGATTAAATATTTGAGTGAGTATAGGTGCGTTTATGCGTGTGTATATAAACCCCTCACAACCATTTTTCCAAGTGAAACATTTTCGCAATCTTGCCCATACATGCCCTCCCTTGCTCAAACTTGTCCAACTAATACAAAAGAAATCCTCTATTCCCCTGAGTATTCACCTTTGATTTCCACATAAAACATTACATTCTAAACACATAATTTGTTTCGAACACGCGTGAGAGAACATCATCATGGCAACGAGAAAATTTGTCGAAGAGTTGAGTGATGAAGAGTTATTAAAGGTTGTAGAAGATATCGAGTGGAAAATGGTTTATGAGATGAGTGATGAGGAATTGTTGAAGGCTGTGAAACGTATCAACTCACTGCTCTTTGAATTTGAGTTTTGGACCGTGGGGCCGCATAAACATTGGAAGAAAAATGTGGTGGTGAAACAACAGTTTACAGCACGCTTGAAAGAATTACGCCACCAGATGATAATGTCGGCGTTTCAATCACTCATGCATTAGAACGTGCGATTGCTCAGCAAATCCAAAACCAACCAGATATTCAGCCACATCACACACTTCATTTTAACATGCAGGCCCAAGGCTACACGCATGCATTTCAATCTACTACATTTTCCATGAAAGAGTTTCAACAAGGCAGTGAACAAATGCAAACTTATTTGCAAAGTTTAGCGAATGAACTAAACTCTGGAGAAAAGTTTAACACCAACTCCAATTTTGAAACCGAATTGACTTTGATCTGTACCCCACCCGCCGGCAGTGGCAGAGGAAAAGAAAGATCCACAGGAAGAAGAAATGTGGAAGCATTTTTGAAAGCTAAACACAGTGTCATACAAATCAAGAATACAGACGAATTATGCTGCGCGCGAGCGATTGTCACAATGAAAGCAC